TATATGCTCATCTTGGCTAAAACCTATGCTTTCATGGCTTGTACTCACTTAATGTACGAACACTTAATTAACTGAAGATATCATACAGTATATTGCCTGTAAGATAACTATATTAGCTAAATTGATTTTACACATTTTGTAAGTGACTCGTTAGGTAATCAGAACATTGAGTTTACGATATAAATCCCACAGCCCAGCTCACGTCAAACAAATTATTGTCCGTGGTCCATACGGAATTCTTATCACTAGTGTTATGTAAAACACCATATTTTATATAAATAAGTCGTATATTTTTTTCTTGTTTGCCATATAACTAAAACGTACCACGCATGTGGCTTTTATATTTGATTATTATTAATATAAACAGAAAACGCTAGTATAGTACATACTTTAAGCGGCTAACATATTGTCTCAATGTGACTTAATAGTGCACTTTGGCATACTATTTTGCCCTTTCGTTGTTGTTTTTCCTTATGTCTGAGCAACTTACAATCAGCGAGCATCACATTCAAGTGAGTATTACAAACAAAAAGGCCGGCCTCGTACGCACTCGAACCTCTGCCCAATCTTCCAAGTTTGGAAAAATTTTGGGGAATTTAAGGGGAATCCCCTAAGTCAAATGACCACCAAAGTTTGGAAGAATATTGGAGAATCGCCCCAGATGGTGGTGCCATTTCCTCAAAATTGGGACGTTGGGTGCCCTTCCGAATGTTGGACCACAAACTTAGCCGATGGACCTCAACGGCCTATGATGAAGATGGCTGTCGTATTTCCTTGCACCGAATAATTATTCATAATACTTATGACTAATAGAACTTACACGCTTATAAGGTGCAGACCGACTCGTTACCTAGATGACTTGAGGAAATGTAGCTTCGATATATCGTGCATACCTACATCAAGCCGTCAAACGTTGGAGGAGACAGATGTGTTTGATCCACGTACTCTTCATAAGTTTCTTTCCCCCCTTGACCATATATTCTACTTTTCCGGGTTGGGGAGTATTCTTGTGCACTCGCGGGTACGAACTCTAATATAAAAGGCGGCCATCATATACTCAAGATCATATAGTTGATCGAGTTTAGTGAGGAGTCCAACTTCTGGCAAATCAACGCATCTTCATATATGCATTTTAAGAGTAATTGTTTTTTGTTTTATTTCCATACATTTTCGTGCACAAGATGTCTACATCATGTTTATTTCCTTTCAGATTACCAATCCGTTCTGGAGTATCGTGATCGTGATATGGCTCAACCAAAAAATCACTCACTTAACCTATGTCTTAGCATATCACTGACACCGCTCTGTTAAAGTTTAACAGAACAGGTAGCCAGGTGGCTGACAAGAAAATCAAATTGAAATGCCTAGGATATTAATTAGATCTATGAATAGAAGGGATTTGTCTTAAAACCGGGAATTTTTTGAACGGGTATCTTGATCGCTCATTGTATGAAAGAGCCAGGAGCTGAAGAAAATAGAACTAATACCAGATGGCGGAGATAAGCACTATAGAGTTTTATATCTTTGGGTGGCCAGATATCCAAAGGGAATGATTACGGAGGCTTTTTTGGTGCAGCATCGAGGCTTTTGACTAGACTTTAAAACCTTTACATAAATTCCTGGAGCCTACTTGGCAATCCGTGGGAACTAGGTGCACAAATTTGCCCTGTCAGACAGGACATATCCACCCCCTCGGAAAATTAAGTGACCTTGTGTATCATTAGACTAACTTTTCACTATTATTTGATAAAATGATTCGTACTCTTTTACCTAGATGAAAGGGAATGTAGGAAAGAGTTAAATTGCCAGACAATTGAGAAACAAGGTTTCGATACAAAAGTATTTATGTCCCAGACACATGTTAAATTAGAAAGGAACAAAAAGAAAATCTTTTGGTCTGAAGATTGCATAAAACACATTTATTCATACACAAAACAAAGCACAAAAATGTGCAGAAACATTCGGACATTCTATGGTAATGAGAGTGTTACATCACTAATCGAAGATGGGCAAGATAAAACTTAGTTATCTTTGGACCAGGCCGACACCGAATATACCATAGAAACATCCTTACGTCGAGTACATGTAAATTCTTCCACCCATATTCTGGAAATGCAAACCATTGAAAAACTCGATTTTTTGGTTTTCAAGTATTCTCGATGTAGGCAGATCTATAGGACCCAATGAAATTCGTCCTAAGTTGTCAAAGGAACTCACAAACTTCAACTCAGATCCTTTAAGTATTTGTTTTAGTCTATTTGTAACCCAAGGTAGACTACTAAGTGATTAGCAGAATGCCGTCTTAAGTCCTATCATCTAGTAGGCACGAAAAAATCCTGAGAAATATTATCTGTAAGTTTAATCGACACAGATGTTAAGGTACTAATGAAGATATGAAGGGAGATAATTAAGCAACTAAACAAATGTCTGATTCTCTCGAAAAGTCATTAATCTTTTACTAAAGGTTATCCATGTTCCTCAAACTTATCAATAGCTTGAGAATGTTTGTGTACCCTTTAGTTGTACGCATCAAGCTGTTATCTAGATTAAATAATATCAATATTGTGGACAACTTATCTACGTGAACAAACAGGTTGTCGGTTAGATACTAACAAGAAGCACTGGCCAGTTCCAAGTGGTCAAGATGGAAAGTTGTTCAAAGAGGGTTACTGAAGGATTCCGTTTAGATACCAGATCTATTCCTGTGCATGTAAACGATCGCCCTGGTTTTATATCATCATTGTTCTTGTCATATACCGAAAAAATCAAGATGTGGAAAGGAATAAAAAACAAAGGGAATAGACTAGGTGTTCAGAATGACAAGAAATGATCTGAATTGCAAATAAAGATGACATATGCTTCCAAGTGCATTGTGGTGTGTGTTGGTCATCAAGGTACAGGTACATACACGGTGAATGATGCTGAATCCTTCATTATTTAGACATAGTGATCAATGGGTCTTTGACAATAATTAAAAGTTACTGTGTACTGCCGTGCAATATCTGCTAAGGGTTTCAGAAACATCTGGATAATACATAGGTTCTCTAGCCACATAAATTTTGAGACCTTTATAAATTTTGAAGTATTATTCCACCGTCCCAAATTTGAGTATTGCAAGAAGATAGTCACCTAAAACAGGCAAAGAGCTGACAGAACGAGTTAATAGAACACCATCTAAGTTGATTTCTGGAATCTCAAGACGAGATGCTATTAAATTGTGCATATTTCTCAGTTACATATAGGAGCTAATGTTGACTTGATTGCAGTTCCTTAAATCACTTGTAATTAGTTTTGCATGCAAAACAACCCAATTTCCATTGTCTTTCAAAACGGAATTTCCAAGGACCAGAGTCATTTACCTGTCAAATGACTACAAAACTCCCTGCTTAATGATGGATGAGCGGAATTCTTTACCATAACATATGGTCGAGGCCCCACCCATCTACGCGTTCTAGAGAGAGAGAGAGAGAGTTGGATCAAATGAGAGGCCATCATTATCAGGACTAACACATGCGATTGAACCTCCTATCCTTCCCTAACTGTAACTGAAACTAATCTACTCATTTCTCAACTTTTGTCATCAATCCATTCATCTGGACACTAGTATTATGAGTTCTACACTGAAATCAGTCAGTATTTTGACCGGTAATGTAGCAGATGCTTTTCAGGCTCGGAACCTGAAACTCGTTTTAATCATTACATTGGGTTGATAAAACAGCTACTAAATCAGCTAATGCATCAGGATATCTCCGGAGTCACCTTGCTGAAGATGTATAAACTAGGCGGCTAAATGAACTTGAAACAAAATTAGGCTGCTTCAAGCTGTATTTAGACCTCCTAATGAACAGGACTTAATATTACAGAGTGAAAATAAACTAAAGGGATCAAGAGATTTTGTCTGTAAGGATTTGATGCTCGCAGACCGCATAAAAAGACAAGAAGTCGGAAAAGAACTGAAATGTAGGTTGAATGCTGGCGAAAAGAACCTAAAATTTGTAAATTTTCGGGTTCTGAGGTTTCGATAGAGAATGATGCTGAAGCCACTGTGGGTGAAACACGAAGCAATTTAGATAGATTTTGGATCAGTTACACAAATGCCCGAAGCTTATTCAATAAGCTGTCGAATCTAGGTGTACAGATTGACTCCACGAAGTCAGATGTAACCGTAGACACAGAACATGGCTGTCGCAGTCTCTAGACAGTATGGAATTTGATTTAGAAAGCTTCGTGTTGGTTGGTGTCGCAAAAATCCAGAGGCGTGAAGGAGGGGGAGTAGGTGTATTCGTTAGAACACTATCTCATTTGCCATTATTGACAGTGTATCCCATAAAAGCATGACGTTTGGATCAGTTAGTTACCGCTTGAAATGCAAGGGATAAAAGCTACTGATTTTTTCGGTTGACCGCAGTCCAAGACATAAGGTAAATCAGGCCTTTGGTCTGGCAAATAATTTTGATATGAGCAAATCATCGGGACCTGATGAAATGCAGCCTTAGTTACTAAAGAAATTATATGCTGATTATGTCAAGATATAGAGAGCGACTAGAGCTTAGAGCTTCAAAATGACCTGGAGAAATTACCTGAATGGTCTTAAACTTGGCAGTTGACGATGAAAACTCTCAAGCGCATCGTGATGCATACTGATCGTCAAGGTTCAGATACATATGCGATAACACTGAGCTACCTGTGTCCAGACACACAACGATTTAAGAGTTATCGACAGCCAAGACATAAAAAACTACTGCACATTGCCAGGCGATGGCCACCAAAGGTTAATACGTAGGGCGTTTAGCCATGTCAATGTTAAAACCTTTTTGACTTTGTATACAGTCCTTCTCAAACTGAAACTGAAACTTTACTGGTGTGAGAATAATACCACAAAGAAATGTTCACTAGGAATAATGCGGTCAAATGACAATAAAGGATTCATCACACTGTACGAAAGATTCGAGCTCAAAAAATTAATTTCTTTACGCTAGCTTGGCACTAGGATATTGATCCTTGGAAAGGTCAAGTTGTGCTCTCAGGGTCGTTGGAGTTGTTGTGCCCCAGGGCATTTTACAACTTGTGTTCTGGCTATGTAGCACCTCTTGATTCTGAATGCGTGTTTTCCCCAATGTTCAGAAGTCTGGCACCAAAAATGTCTAAAAGTCAAGGAAGGGTGGAAAAAAGCTAATTTCGTTAGCTCCACATGACCGCTTTTAAAAGCGGCCAATTGGCACGGCGTATTACCTAATTTAGCAAGAACAGGGAGATAAAGCGGACATTACCTAATGAAATCCGGTGTCGACTCAGTTTGCACTGCAACTAAAAGTCGCCTTCTCTCACTCTCGGGAAGTTATGAGACAATTCGCCTAAATGTCCCTACTTTTTTTCTTTTTCCAAATTTATTTCACTGGATTATACTCCTTGGATAACATCTACAAACCCTAATCCTTCCGAATAATACTTACACTCTTACCATCTCTACCACTACGGGGTTTGAATTGATAACTGCATGTGGTGTGGCAACTCGAAATGATGTACGTACGTACGAAGTTCTACGTTGTTACTGACTGATATGTTGCGATATGTATATCAACTCACGCATTAGTGATCGCCGAATTGTCTGCTTTTCGCATAAATTTGAGTTGAATTGCTTGGTAATTGTTAGATAAGCTAGTCATGAGTTCTCGAACTTGCACTACGATACTACTGGGCTGTAATAAAGCCCATGATATACAGCATTTTCCCACAATTGAAGAATACCTTGGTTTTTATAAGTGATTTCTCAGTCCTATAGGACAGGTTGTTGTCGACATGTGTCCTGAAAAGTTACATCTATATCAGTACAGACTAGTTTCCTTGATTCTTTACCAGGCCTAAGTGGTTATATAAGGGATCTCAAAACATATAAGTGTGTTTACTTCAGAATAAAATAGCGTTGGAAATCAGTCGTTTTTCCCACCATGATCCATTGTGTTCGAACTCGTGTACACTACATCACTGCATTGTCGAATGGGTCTGGCTCCTCTGATTTTGTTCGACCTCACCTTCATGTGAAGATAACACACAAAACTGACGGATTTAAATCTCCCCAAATTTTCTGTAAATATAGTTACTTCGGAGTTATTCGTTAGGAAGTTGTTACTTGGTATCTTTTTCAAGTTGTCCACGCAATCTCATTAATCTGATTATACTTTGTGTATCGTTTTTGTATTAGTATTATTACTCACTATAGCCCATACCAATTAGATTGGGAATTCGGATCACAATATTACTGAGAGCATATTTAGGTTTCTTAGGACAGTTGGCGTATACATAAAAGTAAAGTTGAATCAAAATAGTGGTGAGTGGACGCCACAGTAGACTGAAGCAGCAATAGTACTGGCTTAACACAAATTAGAATTTCACTTGCACAAAATTTCGTGCAATCGTAGAATCACCCGGAGTTGCATTGTATATGTCCATCCTGAATTGAATAGAAATATATCCAAAGTCTTCAATGATGTGTTTTAAATTTTAATCAATTGGTAAAACGATAGAATAGGACTAACAGTTCGATAGACTAAAAAAACAAAGGCATTGTAAAGATATACATATAAGGGATTAAAGTTAATCACATAATTTAGGGAATAGGATTTGATTGTAAATCCAATAGTCCAATGTTCGATCAGAGTATACGGTTATGTAAATCAACATGTTCGGACTAGTGTAGAATAATTACATTAATTTCGAGTAGCCAACAATTAGTGCTATTTAGCTCTACAGAGTAAATTACCATGTTGTCTATACTCATTCGTTGATTTTTTTCCTGAAGTTTTTGCTAAGCATCACTCCACATTCAACACTAAACTTACCTGACTATTCTTTTAAGTGTGCTTTTAGCTTGATGTTTTGAGTGATATTTAATTTATTTCAAATCGGTTTCATTTTTATCTGACTTAAGATGGTCAACCCTATAAGAATGGAAATTGATTTAACTACCCAAGTGGCTGAAGCTGCAAATATTGATCGGAATCTAGTCAGTCGTGTGATTCCAATGTTTGAAAATGGTTATACTGTGCCATTTATTGCACGTTATCGAAAAGAAGTAACTGGAGGCGCAGAACCAACAGTGTTGCATAGACTGAAGGAAAAAATGAATGACTGCAAGTAACTGCGACAGTAGTTTTCTTAGTGTAGATGCTTGTAGAATGCTTGTTGATAAAATCGAGAAATCACTCCAGTTTTTTGATAAGAGTGGATTACTAACGAATGAATTATCGCAACAGTTAATGAAATGCAAAACAACTGAAGATATTAAGCTTTTGGGAAGTTTATGAGATTTTGAACTTTAATAGAACTTTGTTAGACAGATCCCTTCAAATCTAAGGGTCCACGCACGCTCGCAGGTCGAGCAAAAGCTGTCAATCTGGAACCTATTGCTTTGGACATACTTCATTCAAATAGGTGTGTTGATATGTATGGTCTGGCACCGCCAGAAGCTAAAAGTAAGGTTATTTAGTCATACTTAAAGTATTTGTATTTCATTAGAATAGTTTTATAGTCAATATCAATACTTTGGGTTCACAAAGTTTCTTGTCATAGAGCGATAAGCCGCCAATGCTTTCAGGTAGGAATAGCCGAAACAAAATAAAGATGAAGTTGTGGTTAGCCGATGGATTAAACTATGTTAAATCCTCAAGAGTATACAACGTGAGTTTAAAGAAATCCGTTAGATGTTCTCAGACTATCTAAAGACTGTGAATTTCAAAGCTTGATAGTTAAGAAATAAAAATCACGATTACGATGCGTTTCACTACTTTAATTCCAAATTATGGGTATTTCATTTACGGTCCGTTTTCCATTTAAGCTTTAACTAACATATTAGTGTATAAACATTAGTATCAATGTTGGGATGTGATGATTCCAATTGGGTCAAGTCGCTAACGAGCATTAAACCTACGATATAGTTGTTGCAGTATTGGACTTGGTAGCTCAATCTTCGGCTTGTATACATTGGTATTGAGAGCCTATGATATCACGGCTACTCACATTATATGTGCATCAAGCCCGAATACTTTTATTTATTTATTTATTTAAACACAAACATTGGTGCAGGGAGGCACCGAATTTACACGCACCACACATTCGATTTGTGCGAGGGTTGGGATACTGTCCGAGTGCCAAACCGAAGCAGGTGGTTTTCTTAGAGAGCCCTACCTGAGCCTTTGACATTGAGATTCAATCCAGAAGGAAGTGGAGCAACGTCAGGAGATGCATTCTTATGATAGCAAATGATCGAGAATAGGTCCATACGATATTTGTTCCTTCAGGATCCAGGAGCGCATTTGCACCGTTGGTTTTGAATCAGGATTTTTCAACTCCTCTAGATGGATCCTTGATATCCACCAACCAGATCGAAGCTACGAACATTCACTTTTCGTCCTCTCAATTTCGTAAACAACATCCTTGTGATAAGGCAGTGAGTGGGACTTCCCTGATAATGGCTATATACGCGTGCCCATGTATTTATCAAATGTATTATTATTATCAGTATGGGGTCCTGGAGATTATTGAGTTTTTGATTGAGATCATGAACCAATTGATGTTAGACCGCCATTGAAAACCTGGAAGCACTGGACGGTCGTTTCGTCCTACTTTTGGACTGCTCAGCAGTGCGTATCAGTGGTCCCGCCGGCGGGATTCGAACCCTTTGGTCTCGCATGCGAACGCTTAACCTCCAGACCACTGAGCCGGCTGGCATCCAACAGTGTTAATGTCTAACCTCAACCAATCCACGAAATCGCGCGACCATCTCCCATTGTACTGAGGTAGATACCTGTTTCTACCCGATACGGATTATTATTGTTATTATTGTTTTATATTGACTACTACAAAATGCTGTTCCAAAATTTCATTACAAACCTGGCATAGCATATTTCCTCCACGTTCAAAATGGTCTTACGTAACTATTCTTCTCACTCTTGAAATGTATTTTCCTGCATAAGTGAAATGAACATATCAATATTGAATCTTATGTTCTGTTTTTCTATTGTAGAGACTTTTACATCGAAAACGGCCCTCGAAGATGCTGTATCTCATATCATTGCTGATATTTTTGCTAAGGATTTAGATATAATCCGAAAGGCTGAGGAGTTGTAAGTCAATTCTGTGTATTTGTAATATCTTTTAAACTATATTTTTAAGAAAGTGAATTCTTTATTTTCGGAATTCCTGAATAAGAACACATTCAGGGTGAACATTGTTCATATCTTTTCATGGATAAAATTTATTACAATGAAAGTTTCATTTAATTCGCATACAGTTTAAAATATTGGATATCAAATTATATTTGCAAAAATCCCCATGACTTAAAGTTTCAGCTTGTAGACCATTCAAAATTTCTCCTCGGAAATAATCAGATGCAAAATTGTGTTCAAGTAGCCTTTCGTTTGTCTTTAGCTGTGAAACAACCTATGGAAGTGGAAGACGTGTGTATGGTGTAAGCTTTTGATCGTAGTTATCTTAAAGCATTATTTACATGTGTTAGGACCCCCGAGTTCAACACCCTGTTAAAGGCGAAAGTACTAGACCAGTTATAGCTGTCAATCTTCACCGATTGAAGTAGTTTGAACGGACATATACACCAACAGAGGGCCTGACAAATGTATTTTAGTCCAATTTGCCATATCTGATTAGCTCAACTCAATGAAAATAATGCAAGAGATTGAAATAATGTAGCAGTGATAAGAAAAACGACTAAATCGTTTGAGTATGGTTGGCGAAGTCAGGCTAGAATTGTGTGCACGATGGGATATTGGGATTCAAGATCAAAAGGAAGATAAAGAGTTCGACTGCGCCATCGTGAATGATTTCTATCCGTATGACTCAAAGTCTTCAGCCACTGGCCACAGTTGTTGTATGATGCCCAGTTAGGTAGTCTGCTTCTAACTATATCGCTTAGCCCAACATTTTGTGACTCAGTCAGTCAGTCAGCTACAACGTAGGACCAGGCACATATGTGCATCGGTCCAGGTTGCCATACCTCATTAGCACAGCAAGATGAACAGCGGATTCATAGGAGTGGTTAGGTCAAAGGTTGCAATAAGGATATAGTATAGGAAGAAAGAATTAGTTCGTAGACAGAAAGAATGAAGTGATTTTAGTCTCTTAGTTTAAGGGAAGACAGGGAGTGTATACACCGACGCCATTGTGATCGATTCTGAGCCATGTCACCAAGAGTCTCCAACCATTGGTTACGAAAGTCACGCGGACCCCAACCAAGTAGTCTGCATCTACCAACATGGCTCAAACTAGAAGTTAGTGACTTCAGGCACTGATGCCACGTTTTGGTTTGGCCGCCCCTAACTTTCTTCCAACCATCCCCTACCCCGGTTAGCATTGCACGTCGTGGTAATCGGTGTTCAGGCATACGTAATACGTGGCCCAACCATCTCAGTCGATGAAGATTCATAACCTCATCAACTGATTTACCATCATTCCCTAATACCCTGCGTCTAACCTCACTATTACTTACCCGGTGATCCCAACAGATGCCAGCAATATTTCTAAGTCATCTGTGGTCAAATACTAGTAGCTTACGGGTGTCTTCTACTCTTAAGGGCCATGTTTCGCTGCCGTAAATTAAAACAGAACGAACTGCCGCGCAGTATACTCGTCCTTTTATTGATAGACGGATATCTCGCCTTTGCCACAGGTGACGTAAGTTGGCAAAAGCCAAACGAGCTTTTCGAATCCGTGCTGAGATTTCGTCAGACACCAACCCATTAGGGCTGATCAGACTTCCAAGATAAGTGAAGTTGTCAACGCGTTCAACTACTTCACTCCCTATCCTTAGTTCAGGTGTTGACGGAGACCAGTCCTGAAGCAACAACTTGCATTTAGAGGGAGAGAAGCGCATCCCAAACATTCTGGCATTGTTACTTAGTGCTACCAGAAGACTCTGCATTTTGTCAGCGTCTTCACCAAACAGGACTATGTCATCTGCGTATTCTAAGTCGATAAGTGGACCTCCTGGAAGGAGATCAATACCCGAGAATTCAGTCGACGAGAGTGTTATTTCCATCAATAGGTCTATGATGAAGTTAAACAAAAATGGAGAAAGTGGACAGCCTTGACGGACACCACTTGAGGTTGCAAAAGTAGATGACAGTTCGCCATAAGCCCTGACTCGACTAGTAGTGTTCGAATAAAGAGCCTTCACAAGGTTTATGTACTTCTGAGGTACGCCTTTCAATGACAGACACTGCCACAGAGTCTCGCGGTCTACCGAGTCAAATGCTGCTTTTAAGTCAAGAAATACCACCATCGTCGGACGCCGATAGGTATGCCTGTGTTCTAGAACCTGACGAATGGTGAATATGTGGTCGATGCAGCCACGACCAGGTCTAAAGCCAGCTTGGTTCTCTCGAGTTTGTAGTTCACGAGTCTTAGTTAGGCGTTTGATAATTATCGAGGCCAGTATTTTAGATACTATGTTTGTTAAACTAATCCCTCTGTGGTTGTCACAGGATGATTTTGACCCTTTCTTATATATTGGGACGATAAGTGATTGCGACCAGTCAGATGGGATAAAGTCTAATTCCCAGATCTTAGCTAAAATATTAGTCAACTTAATCGCTAAAATTGGACCACTATCCTTAAAGACCTCTGGAGCCAATCCATCTGGACCAACTGCCCTTCCTCGTTTCAGATTAACTATAGCCTTTTGAACTTCAGCAAGAGTCGGGGGACCTACTTCTATGTTCCATTCACACTGTCTGGGAATGGAGGGTAGTTGTAGAGTAGCTGAAGGCCAGCTGAACTGTTCCCTAAAGTGTTCCGCCCATCGTTCTAAACGCCTGGACTTGGAGCAGATGAGTGTATCGTCTTTTTCCGATATAATCTCACTTACACTTGACTTATTAATTCCAGTTTCTTTTATTAGTCTGTAAAGCTGTCTTGTGTTCCCTATAGTCGCCGCCTTTTCCATCTCTTTTGCTTTCGATACCCACTACTGCTCACGGTCGTTTCTTAGGCTTTTTCTTAACCTAGATCTGATTTGTTTTCGCTCTTCATCATGTTCAGAACCTGATGGGACGAGTTTGCGAGAATCCATCAGTGTGACAGACCTTGAAGAAATCCACTGGTTCCTTGCAACTCTGTGGTTTAATTCACTAATAGATGTCACTGCTGTTTCCACAGCTGATTGTATGCCCTTCCAAGCAACATCTGGGTCAGCCTCGTCTTCACAACTACCTAAGTGTGACCTCAGTTGTTCCTGGAACCTACTTTTGGTTTTCTCGTTACTCAACTCAGTTCTAACGGGTCTTTTTAATGTGGCTTTTTTGCGTCCAGTGAGGCGCAAGCAGATGCGTGCCCGTATTAGGGCATGGTCGGAGTCCAAGCAGGTACTCCAGAATGAGCGACAATCTTCTACCGACCCTCTCCAACGATGACTGATGGCAATATGGTCTATTTGAGTCCATCGTTGGTTTGGTGTAGGGGGTCGCCATGTTAGACGATGTCTCTCCTTATGCTTAAAATTTGTGTTTGCTAAAAATAAACGATTGTCTGAGCATAGCTGCAGCAGACGATCACCATTATCTGTTCGCTGTGTCGGAATACTAAAATATCCACCTAAATGCCTTTCTGTTTGGTTTAAACTGCCTATCTGAGCATTAAAATCACCTGCTACGAGTGCTATTTCTGAGCGTTTAGCTTTCTGAAGAAGTTCGGACAGCTTTCTGTAAAATTCATCTTTCACATCATCTGAGCTGCAGTCAGTGGGAGCGTAGGCAGAAACGACAAAAAGGCAACGACGTGTGTCCCTATCCTTCCGAGTTCTTACGTAGCCGTTCAGCCGAACAGCACATAGACGACTGTTGACGGGGATCCACTCTAGCAGTGCTTGTTCGGCCCTCATGCTTAGTGCTATGCCTACACCTGCCAGTCCACGAGAACTTGCCATCGGGTCACCAGATACACGAAGGGTGTACCTCGTTGGCTCTCCGTTTTGCCGAGGTGAGGTCAAGTGAATGATCACACTGGAATCCTGTATGCGTGTTTCGGAGACACAGCACACGTCAATGGTAAGAGACTCTAGGGTTTTAGCCAAGGAAGCCTGCTGACCGATTTGACATAGGGTTCGTACGTTGAAGGCTCCAATGTGTAGTTTGGAGCGAGGTTTCAGTAGACCTGGGACAGTACTTTGCGCACTAGAATCGTTGGCTATGGTGACACTTGAGGTGGAAGCCGAGAGAGGAAATTTAAAGTTGAAAGTCGATGTAGGAGGAATAATAGGAATTGAAGAGGAAGGTTGATTATGAATACAGTGGTCTTGAGTGCTGTTAGAGGTATGAGGGCAGTTTTCACTTCCCGGTTGCCCACACCGTGGAAGGGTTCTTCTGGAGGTACCTGAAAAGGAATTTGGATTAAAAGTGGTCTTAGTGACCTGAGAGCGTGACCGCAGTGCCCAAGGGACAACTGCTTGAGGTCGGTCACACACGACCTTGTTATGGGTAATTTTTGTGTTAGCTCCGTACTTATTGAGACCTTACCGCCGGAGACGGATATCCGTGGGATAAGGCGAGGTGTGCATTTTTAGGGTCGACCTTTTCTAACCCCACCCCTCCTTGTGGGAAGGCAGCATCGCTGTCATGCTGGTTGTCTGAAGGAAACACCTTACTGCTGTCACACCTCTGTACAGTCAGCAGTACGACTTCGCCTTCGGACCTTGGGTTTGTTGCTTTTAGTCTTACCGCTCTTCAACCGACCTGTCTGACATGGTAGGACCTTGAGGAACGGTTGTTCCAGCCAGTATAGCTCGGTCGCTTCATCACGATAGGCAAGCCCGACCACCACGTCATGGTAGCAACAACGGTCGGGATTTTGTGACTAGATGAACTGATGCTAGATTTTGGATTAGGTGGCCCTAGCTTCTTTCCAGTCTACTTCTATATCATGGAGCATCGGTCGTCGAAGTAGACGGTGGTTAAGTGAGCGTGAGAATATTGTTGGTGTTAGTCATGTTTATAGATATAGATTACGTGATCGTTAACCTGCATAATAAACACTACCAGTGGTTGGATACTCTACGTTTCATGAGTCAAAGTTGACCACTGGTGCATTTACTTGATCTTCCCTAAATTTTAAGTTTCAGTGTTTTTTCATACATATTTAGTGTTCCTTTCCTTACTCAAAAAGTATACTTTGAATGTTCAGTCTTTTTACTATGATTATTATTACTACTATTATTTTTACTCTTTCACAATTCACCTTGTCAATGTCATCTAGTAATGCCGATATTGTATAAGAACCTGGGCTACCTTACCCATTTGCCAATCTCCTTATTGATAATCACCATGTTCAAATGATGTTATATTTTGTTTTCTGTTTATATATGTATTGCTCCATTCAAAAGCTAGCGATCATATAAAGCGGTAGGGTATATGCCTAGGCAATCTTACAGTTATTTTGACTGTCACAGAACTGTGACAGCATTATTTTATAAGTGTCATTATCAAAGATTTTCGTCTGACTTGTTCTTGGTACTACTCGACATTTACTTCTACGATTTGTTGGAAACAGTTAGCAAGCTATGTGATAAATCTTTCGGCATCATTATGAATATGGTTGTGGATAGATATTTGAAATCTTGCAAATTACTGGCAAGTGGGTTTTGGTCACATCCTTCTCCTTGTATATCTACCGTTAGACCGAGGCCGATACATTCGAATAAATACTTGCAAGCAAAAGTACAATATCGTACAATTATCTAGCACAATAACTGTGTGACAAACAGGTTATAAAAGCGAACCTAAACAAAAACTTATATTCTTGAACATGTTGCTAAAGATTCTTATTTCTAAAGAATATCTCATTCAGTTCTATCTAATGTGACATGTGCAGGTATATTTTTGCACGATATAAGAAGAGAAAGAGAAGCTTGTTGAAATATCGTATGCTAATAATTTCGTGCTGCACTAAACCTATGATACTGAATAAAGCCATTGTTACATAGACTCTTTATAACTCAGTGAATGCTCGTGAGTTTCTGCCCTACAGTTTAATTATCACTGTCGATCAATGTCACTACTGGTTAGAGTTTGGTATCTCTGACTTATTTTTACCTGCAAAGTACTAAATAGTCACGCGTAGACGATAAGACGTGAAATGACGATGCGGAAGAAGTAGACTGACTTTTTAGGACTTTCAGAAGCGTTTTAAACAATGAAAAAGATAAGATAAATATCGTATTATAGATTAAGAGGTATTTTAAAGGAGAATGAAATTGTTATACATTTAATTTATTAAAAGATATTGCTTTTGTGATCCTGGTCTGTGTTATTTATTGAATTGGGTACACATACCTAATAATATGTAAGTTGAATAATCGCTTAAAATCTATTAAGAATTCTGAAGGTTTATTGTATACACTTACCATTTAATTATCTGTTCTCATATTAGATGTTCAAAGTACAGTGCTACACTTGTCACAGCTAGGAAATCAAAACGTGGTAAGAAAGGTGAACAATCGTCAGGAGGTAGTCTTCCAAACACTATGTCCATTGATTTTGATGAGAATGAGAATGCTGATTATGCTGAATGTGTTCAGAATTCGCATTCTTTTATGAATGATACTAGTAATAATTTTAAAAAGGATGATTTGGTTACATTTAAAAATTATTTAAATTTTTCTCGCCCCGTGACATCGATATTAGCACACCAGGTAAGTTTAAGGTTATTTTTTTACTTACTATTACCAGGTAAATATTCATTTATTTGGTTCATAGGTAAACTTTACTCGTGAAGGCTAGCGGCACTACCTGGTTACTGAAATACAAGCGTGCTTCGGACCTTAGCGGTTTTGTGACTGACACCCGAGCACTTTAACCACTGATCCCAACATTAAATATTGATGGGTAGTAAGGCTAGGAAGCTTCAAACTGATATAAAATTATTAATGAAGGGGTTTTTTGGTGTTAACGGGATAAATATTGTATTAAAGCATATGTTGTTCAGGATTGTGTTGGGGCACACTGATTGGCCATTTCCTAACTAATCAGCGCTAGCGAAAACTTGGAGAGGACTCTAGAATCTTATGTAAAAATTGTAAATGTGCTAAAGTTTTTCTTAGTGTGAATCCTACATACATCCAACCTTATTTATTTGTAATATAATTAATCTCCTGTTCAACCGTGTTCTGACTTGCTGAGTGGAGGTAGTATCAGAGAATACTGAGCAATAAAAGTAGCTGGGTCGAGCTCCCATATGCTCTGGTACGGCCGAGAGTGAGGAGAGTCAGCTCTCCTTTTCGAAATGCTCTCAAGTGGCCACGTGCATACAACCACTGCTGGGGAAGTCCTACTCATTGCCTTCTCGTGGCGGGGGTGTTGCTTACGAAATCGAGAGGACAAAAAGCGAATAATAAATGTGATGAACTTTCAAAATTTAGCGGCCGGTCCTTCCGCTAAATTTAAACTCTGCATACATCTAAGGATCGTAGCCACATAAAATCTAATGTCATACTTGTAAAGATCTTAGTGAGTGGTTAGTCGTTGCACACTAAAGGCCTTGAACTCAGTCCTGCAAGATTTAGGTGTTTTATGTGTAAACTGCATTTGAACTCAAAAAAACAACTGTTCACGACTGTAAGATAGTTCATGGACTAACCTTCTATAAACAACCAATTAAAACCAGATAGCACTGAACTGGTGTTTTGTCCTAGTGCGGGACTTCTCAGGAGTGTGCATGCACAAGATCAAACGTGAGACCGTCAGGTCTCATATTGAGCGCTTAACCTTCAAACCACTGAATCGACAACCCATAGTTTACATTTCTAAATCCAGTCAATTCACGATATTGAGGAACCAGCTTTTAATGCTAATTGTGGATAACTGTTTCACACTCCACTGGTCACGATATCCCACTACAACTCGGGGAATTACAAATGATACAATTAGTATCATTATTGTTGTAATGCATTAAAAACCCCTTTTTCCCCAATAATTATATACACAGGTGTTAGCTATTAATCGAGCCAACGAAAGGGGTGTGATTACCGTAAAAATCCACTTGTCACCACAAGTACAACATAATTGTGCAACATTTGTATCTCAAAAATATTTTCCTACGACCAACCGTATTCATTGGGATTTTGTAATGTCAGCTTTCAATGATGCGTGGAAACGTTTAATTGATCCACATTTGGTGCGTAGTATACGGTAAGATGGTACTCTTATCTCTGTTATTTTAGTCTTTGTAAAAATAGTATAAACTGCTCAGGGAGTCAGACTAGACAATTGAGTTACTATTAAAATCCAAATTGTAAACAACGGTCGATTTTTATAGTTTACATTATGAAAACATTCTCATTCATTAACCATTAAGAACCAAGAAGTACTAGATTTCTCTTTTTCTCCTATTACGGGGCTTTTCATCGGTGTGCATTCAGCACCCAGTCATAAGGCATAGAACCCAGTATCTTCATGTCTCACAGCGAGTACTGTACGTCTGTTTGTAAAATCATATTGTTATTAATGTCAATATACTGAATGATGTGTACAACCCTCATTTCACAAGGTTCCTAATAAATCTTCAATCCTTAGAGTACAATCAAGGGAAACGCGCTTCCTGTATTATTTGGATAAAGATAGTTTACTAAAAACACAGTAATCTAATTATTATCTGATAGCTGTGTCAAATGCAACGTGAATGGATAACACATCAAAATAATGTTTGTTCACAGGAAGTATAGGAATTGTTTTAGGTTAACAACTGAGATTGTTAAGCGAATATAATTACGATAACAAACAGGTCCAAATGTCTTATATACATTTAGATGTTTAGAATGATTCCTCATTGTAACAAGAGGACATCAAAACTTCTATTTCCTAAAATCGTTAGTAACGACATAAGTTACTGAATATTAGTAAGTAGTATCATTTCTTATCGAAAGCACAATCGAGATAGTACCCCCAACACTGTTTGAAAATAGTCTTGTCTGAATTACAGCACGTCAAGCTTCTGGTGGTTGAGGAGTAATTCAATTTGCGATCACAGTTTGTTTAATATCTATAGCTCGGAATAGGTTGGTTAGGATTGAATGTTGAAAACATGAATTTCAATGAGGGAATCTCTTTTCGACGGATTGATTTTGAGTTTGTATATATTTATATAAAATTAATCCCGTGAGAACATATGAAAAGCGAATAAACATGATGACACAATAGGAAGATCATAATGATAGATAGCGTAATATCAATAATAAAAATGAAAGATTGTGTGCGTGCAAATAAAAAGCTTTGTGAAGTTAATAAGAAGTTAGCAATGGGTTACAATGTGAATGGATTAAGATAATTAAAATGTTTTGTTACAATAATCACAGATAGTAAAGGGGGGGTAAAGTGATTGGACCCAACGTAAACCCCATTGCGATCATCCTTGTGATATCTACATTTCTTGGTTTCTAAGCATATTTCTTTGATGATTTTGGTCCAGACTTTACAACGTCGTCTATTTTTTCAATTAAAATAGCACTAAATTAACAACTTCAGCTCAAGATGCATCTCTTGAAGTATTTTCAGAAAATCTCCGACGTCTCCTAATGACGGCACCGTTACGTATTCCAGTTTCATCAAGTGATTCCACAGTGAAGAGTGACAATGATATTGGCATGATATCTTCAGCGTCTGGTGCACCAGGTGATCGTCTTCCTGTGATTGGATTAGATCCAGGCTGGAGAAATGGTTGTAAATGGGCTGCATGTGATCCTCATGGAAATGTTCTAAGCACAGGTATTCTATGGCCACCGCATACATTGTCTGCCATTCCACCGAAGAAATTGAGCATGCAAAATGAACCAATGAGTAATAATGGTTTGGGTGCATTGACTGCAGCTATGCAACGTCATCAGTAAGAATTATTTCTTCATGTTGGTCTAGCTTATTGAACTTTTTTCATAATTGTCAATTCAAAGTCTGTCTTAAGTTTCAACTATCTAGACTTACAGTGTATTCTCATACTTAGTCTGTCTGAATGATGTCTCGGTGGTTGTGTTCGACTCAGCCACTAAGTCGTAGTTTCGAACGATGCTTCACACGCTCCGGATTAGGCAACAGAGTAGTATCGTTAACCTCCGTACTTGGAGCCGAATACACTAGTATGTGCCTGGTAAATGAGTGTCTAATAAATGTGCATGTCAAGGATATAAGAACTGTTTTACAACCTTTCAGACACATTCTTTTTAGCCCGTTTAAAATACTATCCATTTGTAGCTGTGTATTTGCCCTTTCATATGCAATGTTCCGTGCTATGAAAGTCTATGAAATCTTCCATCTCTCTGTTACATGTCTATTCGATTACCTCTTAATTTATTAATGAATCGGCTACTGGGAAGGACATGAGATATCACACCTCTATTGTTTTCCCTAACATGGATGAGATCATCAGTCTTCTTTACCTTGCTTTGCCTTTACAGTCTTCTTAACGAACGGGAGATTAGCTAATATCAAATTGCCTACTTTATTGTATGCTCAATGACCTATGGATATTGTTCTATGACAAGTGGCCATGCTGTTTTTGTGTTCTATTTGATGATTCTTCTATCTTACATTCTGTCCAATAAGTGTATTATTTTACTGATTAGATATAAGCCTATACAAGCCAGTTGTGCTCTTAGTTATTAACATAATCCTATTCTGAAACTTGATCAAATTGTGTTTTCGTGAGTGATAGTCATTCGGTCGTCTCACATCGATGCAATTAGTTGATCGAAGACCATATAAACACATTTTCTGGTTCATGATAACGGTGTGAATTTCAGCTTGAAGGGCAGGCTTTCGTGTCAGGGGAGATGCATTGTATTGTGCTGTTAAATATTATCAAATAACTTTTGAGCAGTTATATTCCTGTATCATGGACCAGTTGTTATGTTAGATTCAGTGATACTTCTGTGCAACTTCAAATTTCGTATATATGTTTATTAATAGGATTCAAACCTTTTGTTGAGACAGTTTCAACTTAAAGATATCAAATAACTGATATTTTGATGGTGTTGTGTTCTCATGGCTAGTTAGTTTAATTGAGGAGCGTTCACTATCGTTCTGGGTAGCACATAATCAATGTCAGCTTAAAACAGAAGTGAGGTTTTCAGTTATTTCACGAGCGTTTTATCGGTCAGTTATGATAGCCTTTATAAAATACTTGTGAAACGTCTGCAAAGCTCACTTCTATATTAAGCTTTCGTTAATGTGCTCTCTGGGACAATAATGAAAGCTACGAAATTTAAATATCTAATTCAAAGTACACAACACCATTGAAATGCTGTTTATTGTAGATGATCAACAAAATTACCCCATACAAATGTCCTGTAATTCCAATACTGTCTAACATATCTTAAACAGAATATTACAACGGGGCTAGTTCCAAATTAGAACACGAAGTAAAAACAAATAAATATGTAATGTAAATAACAGAATATGTAGTGGTAAGATTTATTTTTACTCATTTATTGAATTAAATACATAGACGTTGGTTCAAGAAAGCACCAAATATTTATGCGTCACGCTTTGTCATTCGATTTATGTAAGGGCTAGGATACTGTCCGGGTGGCCAAACCGAAGCAGGTGGGTTCTCTTAGGCAGCCATTCCCCAAGCCTTTAATCCAGAGGTCTTATCCACAAGCCAATGGAGCAACGTCAGGAGATGCATTCTCATAGTAGCAAGTGATCGATAATAGGTCCATACGATATTTGTTCCTTCAGGATCCAGGAGCGCATTTGCACCGTTGGTTTTGAATCAGGATTTTTCAACTCCTCTAGATGGATCCTTGATATCCACCAACCAGATCGAAGCTACGAACATTCACTTTTCGTCCTCTCAATTTCGTAAACAACATCCTTGTGATAAGGCAGTGAGTGGGACTTCCCTGATAATGGCTGTATACGTGTGACCATATGAGAGCATTTCGAGTGGGAGAGCTGACTCTCCCAACCGTCAACAGTACCAGGGCGTTTGTGGACCAGAAACGCGAGTTTGCACAAAATTTACATATGAATCTTCTAGTATCTTCCGAATCAGTATAGTTCAATTTAATCTTGACTTGATAATACAATATTCGATAGCTCTATCGTACTAGCAAGTTATCACTAGGTTGTATTGTATTTACGTTTTTATATTTATTTTAGAATCGAGACAATAGCTCTTGGTAATGGTCAAGGTAGTCGGCAAACTGGTTCTTGGTTGGCACATTTAATAGAAATTCAACATTTCAAACCTTTAAATGTTCGCTATGCTGTTGTAAGTGAGTGTGGTGCTTCATATTACAGTGCGTCAAATCTAGCTTGTACAGAATTACCAGATTTAAATGTTAGTTTCCGTGGTGCAGTGTCTATAGCTAGACGTTTACAAGATCCTTTAGCTGAACTAGTTAAAGTTGAACCGAAACATTTAGGTGTTGGTATGTATCAGCACGATATACCAGTCAATCAATTAACTTCCGCTGTTCATAATGTCATGGAAGAATGTATAAGTTTTGTTGGTGTTGATTTGAATGCAGCTCCATTGCATATTTTATCACGTGTTGCTGGTTTATCTGAGATGAAAGCCAAAGCAATTTTAACATATCGTTCACAAATTGGTCCCTTCCGTTCAAGAGCTGATCTTCTTAAGGTAAGTATTATGTGTACCTAAAACCTAAATGAATATTGTTAATTTTGTGAGAGAAATCTAATGGAGAAAGTTGTTCAACACACCCATTGAAGTCTGTAAAAGATAATAACATGTCGGAAGAGAAGTAACTGTTGCCGATGGAATTTGATGATCACACAATATATCTTAAATTGATCGAGATTGAAATTGTATGAAAAGAAACCTATCGAGTGATCCTAATGAATAACAGTTCACTTCGAAACCTAAGAGTTTTAGATGCAATCCATGAGGATGTCATGGTTGCTCGTTGCCAGGGGTTTCCATATGAAAAATCTGTCCCAGTGTTTCCTGGTTTTCATTGGTGCTCCAACTAATATTAATCTGTAACGAACACAACATACAAAATAATAAATGGGTGTAAACTGGTCCTGAATTGTTATTTACCCTATGTTACACTTGAATTAATTGAAAAGAATATTTGAACAATGGATAAAAGTAACATAGTAAGTTGGGTAATATAGTTACAAGATGTCGAGTTTTCATGAGTTTCTTCTCCATTTAATAAATGCTAAAGTGAAGTTCTTAATTCAAATGAACTATTATTAATCCATGACTATGAGTAGTGATATGTGAGTGATAAGTCTACTAACTGAGCGTTTGAATTGGTTTCTTAGGCTCTTCTAATAACCCAAGCCAAATGTACACGGCGGCTTGAACACGAGAGAAAAGGCAAGTGTCGAAAAACCACTTTACTTCAACGTTAGTTTCTATACAGAAAATCGAGGTTATTTATATTATTTCAGATTGTCTTGGACATCTAAAGTTTCTAGAAACGTACTAATTATAGTAGCAGGAAAGATAGTTATCCAATGAGCAATGTGATATGTGTTTGTTCACTTCCTAGATGTTTCTGAGAAACTCCCATTCAACACTGGTTGGATAAAATGTTTCCCAAAGTTATCAAGGCCTCTGTGTACTTGTTCGGTGAATACTTTGGATTTCCCTAACAGTTAGGCAGGCTGCTGTCAGCTTGATTTCAATAATTTTATCAGTTTCTAGAAAGTGTGAAATTTCCTGTGTTGCCTAAACAAATTATTAAGGATGTGTCCTGGCCAATAAATATGCAAATTGAGGGTGTAGAAGTTATTTTTCCAAAATTTAGTACACAATTCTATCGCTCTCAAGATATTCTTCATTTTGTAGTGTTATATTCGTTCCGTCTTCGTTTCTATCATTTGAAATATTCCTGAGAATTTTGAGGAATGAAAGCCTTTGTTGCACTTACGTTCTACTTTACCTCACTAAATCCCAGGTTCAAACTACATTCCACCTACTTCGATTTGATCAGTATCATTATACTTCACACTCGTATTTGAGTACCTGGAGCTGAATTTTTTTCATTTTATAATTGCGAAACCATGGTCCGCCACCAGTAATGACCTGTTCAAGGAAAACTGAAATTTACGCTTAAGTTGCCTCAGTGTGTCTAACGTTCGATTCTTCTTCAGGTGACAGGATGTTTTGACCAAATCCCACAGATTTGGTGTTTTCTAGTCCATTGTCTACGGAAATTCATAACATACCATATATTATAGTCTTTTGACTATGTATAAGTGGCTTACAGTTTTCCGTAACTAATGACCGTAACAGACCAGTTCGTTAGTTTATTGAAGAGGGATGGAGAGGGTATGTATATATCGCTCGAAAAGTCAAATCATATTAAACCTCATGTCTATTTATGAATGATCAAATTGATTAAGGTGATCACATGTGAAAGTAGACGTTAGATATGTCAATAATCCATTGACGATGAAACAAGGCTATTGATGTTGAATATTAGCATATGACAAACGGGATTCACCATCTTGTCATTTCGTCTTATGTTTCAGTGGTTTGTACTCTTGAATTTTAGTCATATAGTTAGAAAATTTGACGATGTAACTGAACCTACTCAGTTGTGAAGTGTCACACAGTATCTTGAACGCTAACTTAAAAGGTATGTATGTTGCATGTATGTATGTGTGTTGTCGAGATTAATGAATCCCAAGTTTCACATGGCGAATTTCCGTGAGTTAAACAACTAGTGAAAAGCCATAAAGACTAGTGGAAAACTATTTCATCCTGGTTTTTCAGTGGTTGTCTTAACTTAGTCGGTCCACCATGTAAATTTTCAAATCTATGGTGTATTAGTCTAATATGTGAATCGGTTCATTTTGTAAAGTAAAATATGCAATGTTAATGTTTATTACTGGTCTTGGTTTCATGGTTTCATGCTTCACTTCTCTTCGCATTTATTAAGGCATATTGTATCATATAGCCATTGTGGTTTTCTATAAACGTATCATGTGAATGAATTTCATTTTCAGTGTATATGTATGATTAACGAGACGAAATACTTGTGAAATCCTAGACATGCTTGATGTTCATCAGCAGTATCTTTAAATAAGAATAATAAATTCTATTCCAAGATATTATATGGTATTTTTATTTTGTGTTACGTTGATGGTGTTTTATTCGGTGTATTATGTTTGTAAATGTTACACTGGCATTGTTTATTAGTCACATTATTGCATAGAAAGACGTTTTTTAGTGGTGGATTACTTGTTTCATATTCTGTGGTTGATGATTGCCTTTCATATTATGTCTTCTCAATAAAGATGTGGTCGTGAAACAGGATGCTGTGTAGTCTTTAAGTCTAGGGAATGATAATCATTGATCAGCGACTTCCGTGCAATGATAGGAAGTTTTATTTATTTATTTATTTATTTGAACACATAAATATCGGTACAAAAGGGCACCAAATATATATGCGCCACACAAAACAATGAGAATTTAAAGAGAAGGAAAAAAGGTAAAGAGCGTGAAAAAAAGAGAACAACATCGACCAGATTAGTGTAAGGTAGTGTAATAGTAATAATAATGGGGGAAACGAAAAGGTACAATCAGAAGAAATCTTTCAGTTAAGGAAGACACAATCACTTTTTATGAAGAAAATAAAAGAAGGTTACAGCAGGATCGCCACTGGCTTCTATCTGGTAACGTCTCTAGCCACTGTTTAGCACCATCTCTCGGACCCCAGCCAGGGAGTCGTGAAGGGTCAACAACACGACACCATGTCATACACTGACCACCTCTCCGCTTTTTCCAACCAGTCCCAGAGTTGGCAAATAATGCACGACGTGGAATTCTCTGGGACGACATTCGTAGAACATGTCCAAGCCACCGAATTCGGTGTTTCAAGATGGTGACATCGATTGCATTATCGTCTATGTGCCCGAACACACGATGTCTAACCTCTGCATTACTAACATGGTGTTGCCAAAAATGGCTCAGATTGGCATAAGCCACTCTGACTTTCTTTATACGTGCATTGACCTCATCACTCATACCCCCACCAGCACTTATGCAGCTACCTAGATACACGAACTTCTCGACTACTTCTGTCTGATCACCATCCAGGGTGAGTACAGGATTAGAATCCTGCCAGTCTTGTAGAAGTAATTTGCACTTCGAAGGTGTAAAGCACATACCATACCTACGGACATTGATTGCCAACTGATTAAGTGCGGATTGCATGCCTTGGGCATTATCGCACAGTAAGACAATATCATCCGCATACTCAAGGTCGAGAAGTCTTTCTCCAGGCAGCAGATCTTCACCGCCACTAATTACATCCATCAGAGCTGTTTCCAGAATGTCATCGATGGCAAAGTTGGAAGTTTAATAGGAGACAAATTATTCCAACTGTCATTCTTTGTATTCAAGGTGAATTTGAAGTAATTAATTAGGGTAATTTATGGATAGCGCTTTTATTTTAGGTTAAAGGTATTGGACAAGCTACGTTCGCTCAATGTGCTGGATTTGTACGTGTCAAACCCACATATTCTACAACCACTTTAGATGGGACTAAGTAAGTTTTTACATCTTTCTGTCAGTTATATAATAAAATTTTAACTGAGATCATTGGGTAACAGTGTGTAGACTTCATGTCGTATTGTGGTGTGAGCCACTTATATCCATATAAGTAGAATATAACGATGGTCAGGAATAGAATGTATTTCAGTAGGAGATCGACTAGGTAAGAACGGGATCGGAAAGCAGTTGGTATGAAATTGCATGAACAATGAAATGTGAGACGATGGACTGATATTTGCGAAAAGAAACAGTCGAGTTTGAGACAATTGTTTGATATTTTGCAAACTAAGTATTTACTGTATGGTTGTTAGATTTTACTAAGATGTTCTGTAATTTCGTGACCAGAAGCAATCGATTGCCCCCACTCGCGTTCTTGTTCACTACAGTATGAATGTCCTTCGAGTAAAGATTCATCTTTATATTAGGCTTGCATACTGATGGATTCACCTTTACCCTGAAGATCGAATCCAGTCAGTTATCAGTGATAACCAGCGTGGAGCCTGGCACAAGTGCACGTTAGCTCAGACTGTCATACTACTTTGACATGACTAGGTGAATTTTGGAAGATAAATTCTAATATTGTGAGTATGGTTTGAGAAGATCGAATGAAAAGATATGTTTGAAGGAATATTGAAACGTAAGATGTAGGGAAGTATAGAAAGTGACTGGATTTGCTGCATTTCGTCTGATTCTGAGCCATGTCACTCAACCTACTTTTATCCACTGATGGCAATTATGGCCCAAGCCTAAAGGAAGTAATCTACATCTACCAATATGGCTCAGATCAGCAGTCGATGACTTCATGGACGAATGCTACATATTTTGGTTTAGCTGATCAAAGCCTTCTTCCAACGTGCTCTTACATCATAAAAACTGTTACTGCACCCACTGTTTTGCATTCATCTCGATAACTTCATATTGTTTTAATGATGTGGTTTGGAGATTTGAACTACCGATTAACATTTGTGCCAGGTTTTACGTTGCTTATGGCCGATTGACTAATAAACCTATTCAATTTCATTGTCATTACCTACTTTTCACTTGTACGTAATTGATACCCTCTTATCTTTACAAGTTGTCTTGACATTGTCACTAAAGATTGTATTTACTATTGAATTTGTAATTTCTAACAATCGATTGTTTGAAAACTTGATAAATTACGTAACTTCTATAGGCATTTAATATTCGGATGGATTGCGAGCTGTTTGGACCAGTCGTTATTCAGATCGTGCAATCTGTGACTTACCTAACAGGAAACATTAAAGTTAAAATAAAGAAGAGTAGTGTGTTATTTCATCTTAGTGTAGGATTCTTCATCTTCATGTATACAGATATCTCCACCTTGAATCATTTCCGAGGATCTTCAAGTTACATTTTGACGAATAATTCCGGAATCCCATGAACAAAAACCGTTGAAGTAAACTATTCTCCACAAACTTTATGCCCGCTAGTAACTAATTTTGAGATTTAATTCTCAAAATCATATCGGAAATCGATGAACAGCATAGTTCAACCATGTTTAGTTCAAACCCGTTACTCACTAATGACATTGGCAGATGGTCGATTTAGTTTAAGCACTCGCCACAGGAGATCTATGTATCTTGTGCTTAATAACTGATGGGGTTGTGAATGCATTCTGCTGAGGAGTTCCATATGAAGACGAAATAGTTGTGAAATGCTTTTATGTTTCAAATGTTTTTCTTACTAAATATAAGAAAAGTGACATTTTTGTCTTTTACATTACATTGCCATGACGGCTTGTTATATATGTGTGTATGCATTCTATTTCATGTGTTTGTGCTGAAAACAATTGGCACTTTGATTTTCTGTTTATTTCCTTTATTTTTCAACACTCATTAACAATTCAGGGATGTTGAAATGATTTCCATTTCGAGTGGTGATGATGATGGTGATGATTTAACTTGTGATACTAAAATAACCAATATTTCCACTGGTAGCACTAAACGTAAACATATATCCAATGAATTTAACAAGAAACGTAAAAAACCTCGAATTATGGAGGTAACAGTTACTGATCAATCCGATGTGAATTGTTTTAATCCATTAGATCAGACTGCTGTTCATCCTGATTCATATGAAGTCGCAGCAAGGTGAGTTTGTTATGTTCTCTGAGAAAGTATTGTAATTGTTTATAGAATAAACCTATCGGATGGTCTCGAGTACTGTTATGGATATGTGAGTAATTGTCACTTTTCAGCTGTTCATACCACGTGAAGGGATATTTCTTCTTAACGAAGGTACCTGTAACGTAAACTGAATTAGTCGTTGTTGTGGCTAACTGGAAACGTGAACTCAGAGTTCAAATGCCAGCTGACCAAGGTCAATCACACACAGCCTTTTTGTGCATAGTTGTAGATATAATAGTCAGCACCTTCAAAGGCGTTACCTATGGAGATGGGAGTCTGGTGGCGTGCTAGATAATGAGTGCTAATTTTAGGAGCCATGTATTCTGACCGTTTTCTCCCATCGTAGGAAGGCAGTGTCGCTGTAGACTAGTTCTGTGGGGGATATATTGTACTCCTATCTCATATCCGCAAAGTCAGTAGCCTGACTTTGCCTTCAGACATAAATTTGTACTTAGTGAATTGGTTGTATCACTATTGAAATTAGTTTAGGTAAACGAAGTGTCTCAGTGGAAATAATTATGCCCTTGTACGGCCGAAGGTGGGGAGAGTCAGCCATTGCTCTGGAAATGCTCTCATATGGCCACGCGTATACAGCTAGTTCCAGGAAATCTCTACTCACTGTCTACTCGAGTCGGGGTTGTTGCTTACAAAATTGAGAGGATGGAAAGCGCATGTCCGGCGTTTTAATCTGGTCGGTGGATATGGAGGATCCACCTATGGGAGTTGGAAAAGGCCTGATTCCAAATCAATAGTGCACATGAGCTCCGGGATCCTGACGACACAAATGACATATGAACCCATTGTCGGTCATCGTCTGCCATGAGAATGCATCTCCTGACGTTGCTTCATCGCCTTGTGGATTAGACCTCTGGATTGAAGGCATAGGGATTGGTTGCGTAAGAGAATCCACCTGCTTCGTTTCGGCCACCCGGACAGTATCCCAGTCATAACACAAATCAATGACAACTGCTACTGACCTCATCGTTATTGTGTGGCGCATATGTATATATATAACTGCTACCGGTGTGCTTATTGTTATATCCGAGCGAAGATTAAATCACGAGTAACTTCTGAGATATATTAATTGACTAATATTATCTATACATTCTCATGGTGCAACTATTCAATAATTAGGTTATGTATATTTATATTCCGCTTATTATAAGCTTCATTTTGACATATCATTTATTATTGTATGATTTAGTGTTCGTAAACTATGTTCAGTTTATTGACTACTGTCTCCCACGTTCACATTTGGTCAAATATTGTACAAATGTTATTTCCTATTTTATGGTGCGTTGTGGTATGTTTGGTTGATATATAAACCCAGTATGTCTGAAATAAATGATTGGATTCGATTCGCATATTGGAAGCTGGTATTGGTGTTGTGGACTGAAGCGGACGGGCTAGGAGGACATAGGACCAATAAGGACACTAGGCTGCTCATACCGATCGAACGTCATTGGTTTGGCATAGTGCGAAGATTTGTATAAGTCGTATTTTGATTAGTGGATAAGTCACGTGATAAAAAGCCGGACATAAAATCATAACAATTATGTATGTTTACGAATAAATATACTAATTGTGATGTCACTTAACTTTCAGTACCATTATACCATCTATTTACGAGTTATTCGTGTGGATGTTGAATCTTCCCTTCGTAGTGGAATCCATGTCCGCCTAGTTCGGTTTGGGCAACCGAATTTATTTTTATAGAGTGTGTTCACTTGATTACTGAGATACGTCAGTGTTTGATGTACTGAATTGAATATTAGTTAGTAATGTGTATCATGTAGACAAAATAATTCAGTTTCATTTTGTCATAATTTACTAATGTTTTTCTTCTTGTATTGTAATCTTCTACATTTCAGTATTATTTCATTGCTCCAATTAAATCTGACAGATGTAGGGTCGGTGAAAATGAGAGCAGCTGAGACACAGTTTATGATCAGCGAAGATACTGAGTGCTTTTATGCTTTCTATATGTTTTGCTTGTGTGGGAAAAGCATGTTGTGGTGTTGTTTTGACGAGTTATTTGCATTCATCTAGTTAAAGCAATCATAAATTGGAAGGATATTTTCATGTACAAGAAGTTTCCTGGTGTACTGATAATTTGAATGTTTAAAAATATTTCATTTTTCTCTGTTTGTTCGTTTAGGAGATAAACGACTTGAACAGTTTTGTTCCAAAACTGTTGGACTTGATACTTTACGTGATATTATCGTAGCACTAACTCGTCCTTTGGATTTCGATGAGCGTCAAGGTATGATTATTGCCATGTATCTGTTTAATAAGACTAACTTTGTTGTCACTGTTGTTCGAAATGAATTTTGAGTGGTTAGTCGGTTTAGAAACGTGATCTATCTATCTATCTATCATAGTTGAAGATGTTGGGTAATTGTATACTGACAACGCTCTCCTGAAAATACCCATGAACATATGACGCCCATATCGATGCGATTCTACAAATTTGGCCATTTAGAAATTTAAAAATGCTCTTATGTTTTGCTTCTAATAAATACCTATTAACCTTCCTGGTCTAGTTCACTGTCACATTCATCGTTAACAAAATGAGTTTCTTTAGATGAATACAACCTTTTTATCAGTAGTCGTCGTAGTCGTGGTAGTAGAGTGCCTTTCTGCTAAAGTGTATTTGTGATTTATTTAGTAATATTTGTCCGTTTACTGTAACCTTTTATGAAACAACGTGGTTTTCTTCTACTTTAGACTGTTTTACTCCATTGTTTCATTCGACCGTGATGAAAATATCAGATTTACGTAAAAGTATGCAAGTGAAAGGTCGTGTAGAGAATGTCACTACTTTTGGTGCCTTTTGTGACATTGGTGTTGAAGAAAACGCGTATATTCCAAGACATGCATATCCTCGAAATTGTCCAACTTCCAACCTAAAAATTACCAATGATACTTCTGCTGGAATTGGCGTCAGTGACGGCGGTAATATTCATCACAAAATGTTCACTTTACGTTTGGGTGATCGAATCAAAGCTATTGTTTCGAGTGTTGATATTAAGTATAAACGAGTTGCATTGGATAAAGTTTCTGTAATGACGTGGACGTGATTGTTGTTTTAAACACTGAGAGAGAGGAGATTCAAGCAAACGATTTTTGTATAGCATTTCCACATTTATTTTTTCAATTAACAATTTATTTACATAAGATTTTGTTATTGAATGGTTTCTTCCCGTTGTGTAATTTACTTTTCTACATATTTTGTTTACAGTTTATACGATTTATAAACAAGCGAATCTAAATTTTCTTTCTCTTACAATCGATTGATTGTTGAGTATTAAGCAATGTTGTGTTTGTTTAGTCCTGTAGTTAGCTTTGATTAGATTCTGTCGCTCAATTTGCAACGCGGCTTCCAGTCTACATGTGATTCACTTTCGTGTTCACTACGTTGAGATGCCAGATGGTGGTTGCTAGTAGTCGACAGGAAACTTGATCTAGTTTTCATCCTATGCGGCACCCACCACCAAGATGTACCTGTCATCTTGAGGTAACCGATGCTCTGTAGTGAGAATCATCCCGTCTCACTCAGCTTCCGAATAATAGACGTTATAAGTCAGATTTTTGGGTTGCGATCGACTTCGTATATGACTGAGATATACTTATAATTGATTGTTCATTTATTAGTGACCAATGTCTCATTTTTCTAGTTTTATATATATTGCTGACCGAATTTTATTGGTCTAGTTACAGGTACACTCTGCTGACGAGTTCCCAGTACTATGAAACCTAGATTCATGATTTCTTGTCAACCACCTCCAACCATCTAACATAGTTTTACCCTATTTGTTACGATGTTCTTAGTACTTTAATTTAAGTATGTGGTAGTGGTGGTGATAGTTGGTTAATTCGATTGATGTAGACTATAACATAATGGGTAATTAAAGACAAACTATAGAATAGTAATTAGTTATCGGTTGTGAATTGTTCTTTGTGGTTGTCAGATTTCGTTCAGTAAATTCTACAATATCTTAATCTAACTGAGTGAATCAAGATTGAAAACTGTTATATCTAGTAGTCAAATTTACTTTAAGAAATATCTGTTTAATCATTGGTGTGGTTATGTTGGTGTTGATTTTCTGTCTCATCGAAACCTCTTGGATATATGTAGATACATATTTTCGAATGCAGTGCTTATCTGGAAGTTCTCAAATATTTATTGGAAATCTGCAGTATGTTCTAATGACAGGAGTAAATCGAAAGAGATGACCAAATGATATGATGTCGATTGAAAGAAGCTGAATTAAAGAGTAAATGAATACAGCGTTGAAGCTCTTTTTCTAGGTGTAAATGAGTCACAGTAGTAAATTTTGTTATTGTGTTAGCATAACTTTTATGAAAGCCACATATTGGAACGACGATCATCAGTGTAGATGCCATAAACGATGTTTTAATATCAAAGCGAATATCGTAGGCAATTTATCGTAACTATTTTTATTCGTTCAGCGGGTCATTATTTTCCTGTTATACCCTATGAATGAATAGAGTTGATCGTTATACAAACTGTGTCATATAAGTTATATGGTATTTGCTAGTCTCTTTTCGAGCAAGTAAATCACTACGTTACACAGCGTAGATTTGTACTACATCGAATTACGATTGAGTATTTCGAAAATGTGAAGAGAATAACAAAAGATCCTTAATTGAAATGTTTATTTTAATTAAGTTTCCATTGTTAGTTGTCCACATTCATTTATCTACAATGAAAAGGGAAAAAAATAGAAAATATTCAGCATTTTGTTGTTGTTGTTGTGACAGTGTCTATGTGATTAAAGCGTTCAATTGTTAGCTGCTTTATTACGCTTAATTCGCTTTCGTCAATTAGATATGTGCAATACAGCCCTTATACACTTGGGCAATGATTCGAAGTGACGTACACTAATCTGTACTTGGTAACTGATTGAATAAATTTGTTTCCGATTTTTATTTGTAAGTAGTACATTCTGTAAGACTAGTTAAAATAGCTATTTAGTGTAATTATTATCACGAATAAAACAGTAAATAAATGTCTGACGTGTTACTTTCATCTGAATGAGTGTTGAATAAACGGCGCGGAGTTGCTAACGAAATTTACGGTTTCATACAGTAGTAGTACGTTGTGTTGTTTGAATTAATCACATGAAAATTAGTAGTCTGTACCATTCGGTGAATGACATACAACGTCTAGTGAAATCTTCACTTGTGAAAATTAGATTTACATAATCGACAAGCTAGCTCATATTGTTGATGAGATTCAAATGAGATTTTCTGTTCTACACTGTTTTCACATTCAGTTACTATGAAGAGATATACTTGGAGATGAATAGCACTGGTGTATTTAATCTATATGACATATTTTCAATGTTGTTGGGTGAATGTGTAAAGTGTTCAATGTGTTCCAATTGTAAGTTTGTCTAGTCTGTTGTAAAGTGTAATGCGCTTTTATTAAGGTAGTCATCTTAAACTGGCATCAATGACTGTTTTTAATTTGATTGGGCATCTATAGTCAAATATGCAATTAGTATTACAAGATTAAATTACGTCTTGTAACTTTGAGTAAAATAGAACGTACTGAGAAGTAGTTTGATTTCTTATCGATAAATACTGACCTACAATAAGAACATAGTTGATATGGTTTTTGAAATGAACACACATGGGATATTCTGAAGAATTTTAGATTTAAATAATGTTAATTATGGTGTATGTCAGGTAGCGTTTACGTTGTTCAATTAACATACACCTACTGGAGTCAACTGAGAAGGATTTCGAAACAATTTCTTAACTGTGGTTTCAAACTTACTCCATTGTTCTCCCAACCGCTTCTGGAATTCTTGTACTATATATAGGATGAAAAAACAGAATAAATTGTAGAGTTTATAATTTTGATAAACTACGTCTTCTCATTGCATTATCGAAATTATATATTTAATGTGTAATTACTAATAACTGAATGGAAAGTAAGTGAACACATCCGCTAATGTTAATTATGGTGTATGTCAGGTAGCGTTTACATTGTTCAATTCACATACACCTACTGGAGTCTACTGAGAAGGATTTCGAAACGCTTTCTAAACTAGGGTTTCAAACTTACGCCAATTTTTATACGCCTGTTTCTGGAGTTCTTCTCCTATATAAACGATGAAGAAAAAGAAATTGTAGTTTATAATTTTGATAAACTACGTCTTCTCATTGCATTATCGAAATTATATATTTATTGTGTAATTACTAATAACTGAATGGAAAGTAAGTGAACACATCCGTTAATGTTAATTATGGTGTATGTCAGGTAGCGTTTACATTGTTCAATTAACATACACCTACTGGAGTCAACTGAGAAGGATTTCGAAACGCTTTCTAAACTAGGGTTTCAAACTTACGCCAATTTTTTAACGTCTGTCTCTGGAGGTCTTCTTCTATATAAACGATGAAAAAACCGAATAAATTGTAGAGTTTATAATTTTGATAAACTACGTCTTCTCATTGCATTATCGAAATTATATATTTAATGTGTAATTACTAATAACTGAATGGAAAGTAAGTGAACACATCCGTTAATGTTAATTATGGTGTATGTCAGGTAGCGTTTACATTGTTCAATTAACATACACCTACTGGAGTCAACTGAGAAGGATTTCGAAACGCTTTCTAAACTAGGGTTTCAAACTTACGCCTATTTCTTAACGCCTGTTTCCGGAGTTCTTCTTCTATATAAACGATGAAAAAATCCGAATAAATTGTAGAGTTTATAATTTTGATAAACTACGTCTTCTCATTGCATTATCGAAATTATATATTTAATGTGTAATTACTAATAACTGAATGGAAAGTAAGTGAACACATCCGTTAATGTTAATTATGGTGTATGTCAGGTAGCGTTTACATTGTTCAATTCACATACACCTACTGGAGTCTACTGAGAAGGATTTCGAAACAATTTCTTAACTGTGGTTTCAAACTTACTCCATTGTTCTCCCAACCGCTTCTGGAATTCTTGTACTATATATAGGATGAAAAAACCGAATAAATTGTAGAGTTTATAATTTTGATAAACTACGTCTTCTCATTGCATTATCGAAATTATATATTTAATGTGTAATTACTAATAACTGAATGGAAAGTAAGTGAACACATCCGTTAATGTTAATTATGGTGTATGTCAGGTAGCGTTTACATTGTTCAATTAACATACACCTACTGGAGTCAACTGAGAAGGATTTCGAAACGCTTTCTAAACTAGGGTTTCAAACTTACGCCAATTTTTTAACGTCTGTCTCTGGAGGTCTTCTTCTATATAAACGATGAAAAAACCGAATAAATTGTAGAGTTTATAATTTTGATAAACTACGTCTTCTCATTGCATTATCGAAATTATATATTTAATGTGTAATTACTAATAACTGAATGGAAAGTAAGTGAACACATCCGTTAATGTTAATTATGGTGTATGTCAGGTAGCGTTTACATTGTTCAATTAACATACACCTACTGGAGTCAACTGAGAAGGATTTCGAAACGCTTTCTAAACTAGGGTTTCAAACTTACGCCAATTTTTTAACGTCTGTCTCTGGAGGTCTTCTTCTATATAAACGATGAAAAAACCGAATAAATTGTAGAGTTTATAATTTTGATAAACTACGTCTTCTCATTGCATTATCGAAATTATATATTTAATGTGTAATTACTAATAACTGAATGGAAAGTAAGTGAACACATCCGTTAATGTTAATTATGGTGTATGTCAGGTAGCCTTTACGTTGTTCAGTTACCATACACCTACTGGAGTCAACTGAGAAGGATTTCGAAACAATTTCTAAACTAGGGTTTCAAACTTACGCCTATTTCTTAACGCCTGTTTCCGGAGTTCTTCTTCTATATAAACGATGAAAAAACCGAATAAATTGTAGAGTTTATAATTTTGATAAACTACGTCTTCTCATTGCATTATCGAAATTATATATTTATTGTGTAATTACTAATAACTGAATGGAAAGTAAGTGAACACATCCGTTAATGTTAATTATGGTGTATGTCAGGTAGCGTTTACATTGTTCAATTAACATACACCTACTGGAGT